GTGGAGATGTTTCACCACAGTCACTGCACTTTTATTCCATTTGTCTCATTCCATTTCCTACAGTGGGAGTGTTATCATGTTCTGTGTAAGAAATGACTTTTCATCCAGTTGTCCTAAAATTTTATTGACATAAAAATATAAATCTGGTGAGTGAGAGATGAACTTGTTTGAAGGGTGGAGAGCAGAATGCTTGTGTTTGGGAGAAAAGCTAGTTCAAACCAGAAGCTACTGAATGAGAGAGTTTAAGTGAAATACTTCTTCAATCTGTAGAGAGTGGGCATGCAGCCACACTATTGGTATCCACAGTCAAGAGTATGTACACATCCATCATGTATGCACATGCACATGACCTCAGCATATACTATGTACACACCTCTGCTTTACTTTACTGTTTCTCATGGACACCTTGCCTATTAAAGGAATTGTTGGTGCACACCTGTTTTGTGAGTTCCTAACTGACTAGCAGCTCTTTCTGCTCTTTCTGGCTTCAAATATGCAGCAAAACTACATGAAATGAATCTCTGAATAGGCCAAATTAAGGTCGGTGTTTCTTCTACTCTTAAGGAGTTTTATACATCAGAACAGTCTTCTTTTACATCTTTTTTTGCCAAATCTTGTGGTGTTTCATGAAAAACCAAATTATATTTAAGAAGTAGGTTAGTGTTCCTTTTTTAATACAGATTAAAAAAAGAAATCACAAAGCAATTTTTTTAATTATTGTTGTAGTGTCTGGATTGCTGAATGTGAAAGTTGCCAACGGACAATTCTGTTCCACTGCTCCAAATACCTTCTGGGTATTGTAATATTATACCAGATTTCCCAAGAAGCAGGAGCCATGGAGATTGTGTAGTGTATAACCTCAAAAGTCTTTTTTTGTTGGTTTTTAAAATTATTTTTAAAATGTGATGTGTTATTAGAAGGTTGAAGATGAGCGATATGAACAATAACTAAATGTCTTGTTATTTCAATTTAATAATTTAAATTATTTACAGTTTAGTGAAGTTAAGGAAACTGAAGAGATGCAATCCTCAGCTCCAGGTTTCATCTCATAAAGAAACACTACTGGATGCAGTAACATTCCTGCAAAAGTTTGAATGCATAAGAAGCTCTGTGGGACTACACTGGAAAATCTCATATGGATTATATAGACCTAAGTCTTTGGTCAGTTGGTTCTTTCCCCTGCCATAGAAAAGACTTCTTAAAGACATCAGTGTAAAGTTGGTGTGTAAATAAATGTTTGATAACTGTAAAGCACATAGTACACAGAGACACAGACACACATGCACACTGGAAAATCACCTTCTACTTTTGTTCCCCTTATATACTATGATTAGTGCAAGAAATCTCAGCCAAGGGCTCTAAGAAAATTAAAACAAAATGGTTAATAATATCAACATTTAAATTGTCCACTTCAAAATAAATAATTCAAATGATACTGAATGTGTCTAGAGTGTGTTCATTAAGTAGTGTTATGACAGTTACTTGATTGGTTAATGCTTGTGAAGTTTTCTTAATTTTGAACCAGATATTTTATCCCTGTATTGAGGACATGGGGTCCCTTTAAGCATTCCCTGCCAGCTGTTACACCTGAGGAGTAGAGGCAAAAGAGCAAACGAGGCTGTGCCTTCAAGGTATAAAGGCCCAGAGATCTGTCATGGCACACAGTGAGTTCTTAGGTCTCACCTGTGGTGAGGAGCTGCTGCCTGCCTGGGATATTTGCACTCAGGCTGCTTGGCTTGGCAAGTTTACTAAAATCTGTATCTAGTAATTCCTAGTACAAGCTGCTCTACGTTTTCTTTACTATAAATTGCTATCATTTACTGGGGAAATTGTGCAGTATTTCTAGTCTAATTTGCTTTTTTACATGTAATATCCAATTATTAGCCAGCTGAATTGTGAAAAGGAGGGAAGTGAGTCAGGGCTCCCTCTCCCAATGAATGCTCTAATAGATGTTGTGTGTCCTTCACCTCTTGCTTTCATTGCACTGTGGCCTGCTCAGATTCGTGAAAGGAGAGACAAGAAAAGGCAGCATCCATTACAGCACAGCTTCCAGGTAAGAAAGCTGGATAAAACCAAAGTGGAGTCAATTATCAGGAGGGTAACGGACACTTTATATTAAAAACCAAATCTTTATTCAATTAAGGAGGTCTTTCTACCATAAGTGTTAGAGATGATGAGGTAGAGAACCCAGGACATTTTAACAAAGGCCCAAGGGGATTTCTAAAGGAAAGCAGCCAGTTCCAGTCCTCATTGAGTGAAAGTTATCTTGGAAAGGAGAAATGAAAGGGAAGCACCACCTGTGCTCCTACTTGACTTAAAATCAGAGGCATGGGGAGGAACAAATAAGTAAATAATTATGTTTAAATAATCAGGTCACATAATAATGTTTTCTGAATAGCAATTTCTTGCTATTAACTCTCTAATAATTTAATTCCTATGATGTTTTTTATTTTAATATTCTTAGTAATTCATGGTTACTCTGTTTTCCCTCTGAAGAATTCAAGATGTTAAAATAAATTATGTTTTGTACAGAGTTTTCTTCACAAAAAATTCTGATTGTATAAGAAAACTGAGGCATAGCAAAGTTAGAACTAAAAAATCTGTTGGCTGAAGACAGGTGCTGAAATGAAATCCCTTGACTCTTAGTCATCCACCTGGATAAATCATGCAATAAATTTGCATCTATTTTCTCAGTTCTCAGGTTTATCAGTGATGCAGTGCACTGCCACCTGAAAGAGCTGCATTAATACAGCTGGGATTTCACTTCACCTGGGCAACAATGACATTCACAGAAGAGAGGTCCCATCTGCTGCAGTAAGAATGCCATCTGTCCTTTCAGCATTTGCACTCCATACAGCAAAACAACTTCTGAAGGGAAAAAGGTATCCTTAAAGAGTCCTTATCCACACATTCAATTAGTTATGATTTTTCAAGGGTGAAAGAGTGGAGACACTAAGATCAGCAGTGTAGGAGAAATATTATCTCCTGGGCTCTTCCCAAACAGAGGTTCTGGCAAGCTTAAAAATCCATCTCCCCATCCATTCCACCTCAATTTTCACCTAAAAGGATGAAGTACCCATAAATGACAGGATAGGTAATGGGTAAGAATTATTCAACCTTTCCAGTGTTAACCACACCATAATGAAAGGTATTTTTTCCTAGACCTATTTTTGCAGTTGCTATTTCCAAGGTCATTTATCATTGCATAACACCCTTTCACTAACATTATCAAGTATTATATCTGTCAACTAATTGTTTTTATAAAGAGAGGAAGTTTTACTATTAATTTCTTTAATGTTCCTAATTTTCTCCTCCTCTGGCCCTTCTCCCTCTTCTGTCCTCTACTGAATATATCTATATCTATCTATATCTATATCTATCTATATCTATATCTATCTATATCTATATCTATCTATATCTATATCTATCTATATCTATCTATCTATCCATCCATCTATCTATTTTTGTCTTTCTTCTGCCCATTTTTTTTTTTTTCACTAAGTTGTTGTTTCTTCTGGAAATGTTACTCCTCAGTGTTCTCCCAGTCTTTGTGCATTTTCCTACCTTTTGGTTTTTAACTATCTCACAGTCCCTGGAAGATACTGGTACACATCCTTAAATTTAGGAATCAAAAATACTCTCTAAGTGGATTTGCTCAAAATAACCACATTTTCCTAAATGACTCCTTTTTGGAGAAAGACCAGGTGGCCTGGCCCAGAGCTAGCTGGAGTCACTGACCACCTCCCAGTTAAAACAGCTACACTTCATGCCAAGGGCATGTCCAGCTTCTGTTCCTTTATGTCTAGCACAGAGCACGTTGCAAATGACCTCAGCCCCAGGGAACAGCACAAGGGAGCTGTGGAGGGCTGCAGGAGCTGCTGAGCTCCTCACCCAGGGTACCCCTGTTACCCTAGGACAACATCCTACCTCGTTTTCTGAGGTGTAGAAGTGAATGCAAGGAGTAAAAGTTTCTTGGCTAGCTGAAAAGGGCTGAATTACCAAGCAGAGACAATTTCTGTATCTGTGATATGTCAAATGAATTATGTCAGGCCTTGTGACTCTTAGTACTTATTGGAAAATATCTGTGGTTATCCTTGATTCTTCCCCAAATTGTCTCATAGCAAAAAGTTTTGCACCTTTTTGTTGTTTTCCTTTTAAATTGCCCTCTGTATGTGAGTCCATTCTTCACTGACACAATTCTGCTCCAGGATTTATCTTCCAGCTCTTAAATACAGGCATGTATATTTTTATAGATACATTATATTTTTAATCTAAATAAATAGAATACATGACTCAAAAAACCCACCTTTTCCAAGAGTTATTACTCAGAGCTGCTTTTACAGACTTTTCCATACTGATGTTCACAAAGTTAGTTGTTTAGCCCAACATATTAATATCCTTCATATGAATGGAATTATTGAAGACTTTGAAAAGGATTGCTTGCATGTAAAAGTACATCTTTAGCTTTTTTAGAATTCGTGTACAGTTAGCAAGGCTTTTTTAATTCTTTTCAAGTATCAGTAGTGAAATTGAATTTCTCAGACAATATACTTTGCTATGAATTTAAACAGCGTGGTTTTTTAACTGAACATTTCTACTGAATTGTAACTGAATTTCAGTTACAATTTTATTTTACAAATTTTAATTTTTATCAACTGAAGAGAAGTTTAATGTTCAGATTAAAACACTTATGAAACTAATGCACTGTGATGAACAGCTGCTCCACACCTTGAACAGAAGGGAAAAAGTGAAATTTTGATGCAAGATTCTGAAATACCAATTCAAGCATGCAGTGCACTGTATCTTGAGCAGGCAGCCTTAACTCGCATAAAACCTAAGTTAACTAAGGAAAACTAAGATGAGCAAAAATAGACAAGATACTCTTTTTAAACATGAGTTTCAAGGGAAATGGAATCAATTAAATCTGGAGCATAGGTGAATGTACCTGATTTTCTCTCAGCGTTGTCTGCTTGAATACCTAACTGCTTAAAGCCTCCTACCTTCAGGTAATCTCGCCAGCATGTCAAAAACCTGATGGGTGTTCCTCCGACAGACATCTGCTGGATCCTCCAGGAGCCCAGCCAGGGCAGAAATGACTCCACTTCGTAGTAGCCCTTCCCTAAAAACAACAATGGAGGGCAGATTTAACTCAATGTAATAAAACTTGGATGTATTTGAGATATTTAGTCTTAACTGCTCTTCTTTATGCTGCATCTGTCTGACAAGACTTAGGAGCTGTTCTTATTTCTCACTGAAACATCACTTCCCAGAGGGTTCAGTAAACTTTGGAGCTGCACCCACCTGCCAATACTGTGCAAAGCCATGACAGAGAGAACTTCTGTTGTTTTCTGCCGGACAGTTTGGTCCTCGTGCACCAGCAAAGCCTTCAGGCTATCCAAGAATCCTATGAGACATCAGAATTCATTTTGACACTTCTTCCTTCCAGCATTCATTTGGAAATAGCAATATTCAGCGTTTATCTCACAATTTCAAGTGCCTCAGAATTTTCAGCTTGTCCTGACAGTGAAATTCTCATTGTCATATCTCAAGTAAGGAAGAAACTTTCAAATTTCAAGGCCTACTGCCAAAAATGTCACGCTACAAACAAGCTCCTGACTCCTTATCAAGTTAAATCCTAATCCTGCAAATAAAAAGTGACATAACTCTAAAAATAAGACAGTAGAGCTATTGATGTCTTTAGAAAAGCGTGTTTTTGCAGGATTGACACTCACTTGTCTTTTTTGAACAGAAATAAATGTGGTGAACCATTAATGATTGTGTATGCACATATGGCACTCACCAGAGCCAAAAAACCTAACAACCCCAAACTAACAAAAATCTCACATTGCTTTGGCAATCAACTGTTCATCAAACACTAACTTAATAAATTCTGAACATGACTAGTCTCTTTTATGAGAGGAAAAAAATGTAAAGGAAGTAAATGGAGAAAAAAGCAGTAGCAAACAAGGAATTTTTGTGTGTGTTACATAATGAGCTATGTAGATATACCACAGGCTGATAAAAATTGCAAAAATAAATTTGTGGTTAGGGTTTTTCCCCCCCCAAAAATCAAAACTCAGGATTCTTCCAGGCTTTCAAAATAAGTGGTGGCTACATGTAGTCCTGATGAGTAAGATAAATTTGGTTATATTCCTTTCTTTTCTAATTTCTCATTAAGTTCCAGGCAAGTGGGTGATGATGGTGAAGGGCTTCTAACTTTGAACTAAGTAGGTAGGGGGTTTTTTACTAGCCTATGTTAGGAATTAGCTAAAATTGGAATAAAGTCTGGGGACGTGGTTTAGTGGTGACCATGGCAGGGCAGAGTTAACAGTTGGACTGGATTATCTCAGAGGTCTTTCCCAACCTTAACAATTCTATGATTCTATGGAAAGAATGATTCTGCACTACTTTTGTATTTAGAGGTTGATAAAACTTACAGTGAGCCAGTGATGAATCCTAAAGTGATGATAATTCTTATAATAACTGTCATGTATATGGTATTATAATATTCTTTACCTTTCTAAGGTAAAACAAACAGGAAATTTTTCCTGGGCACCTTGCATGATCGAAGATAGTGTAAGGAAAAAATAGTGGAAGAAAGTGCAGTGGGGTTGGCCCCTGAGCCTGCCCCAGTGTGTCAGAGCTGGTGAGAACAGCCCACTTACCCAATGCTATTGCCTGGTAGACTTGTTCAGGATCGTGCACCAGATCGCAGAGAGCCACCAGCGCCCGCTGCTGCGTCAGCAGCTCGGGAGACTGCAGCTCCTCATTCAGCTTAGGAAGGGCCCTCCTCCCAAAGGCCAGAGCAGCTTTGGTGGGGTCTATGTCAGGGGGGAGATAGGCTGAGATACGAGGTTGTGCCATCCCAAATCTTCCTGAGAAAGATTCTCCCTATCCCTAAAAATAGTCCAAGATGGCTGTACTCGGTGACTGGGCAGATAATGTACCATAAAGACACCTACTGACTTTAAACAGGGCTCTGTGTCCCCAAGGAGCTCTTTGAGCAAACATACACTGTCGGGAAGCTGTGAAAGAGGCTGGAATCGTGCATCATCAGCACTAATGTGTGTTCATCTGCTGAATTGTCTTAATCTGGTTTAATTCTCGCTGAACACTGTAAAGAAAAGACAGAGAGAGAGAAAGCTTAAAATTTCAAGGAAGGATATTAAAATTGATAAAGGGAATGCTTTTTAAAGGGTTCAAGCGAAGAGGCCCAATGCCCAAAATCGGAGGGGACTCAAAATAATAAAATTAAAGCAAAGGAAAGCGAAATACTTCTTTTTTCCCAAAGGAAAAAAAAAAAAAAAAGGCATTTTAAAGGGATCTGGTTAAATCCTGCCCTCAGATTTCGGTAACGTTTGATAGAATACGTGAGGGCTGCCCCTCCGCCCCCCGCCCTTCCCTCAGTACGGGAAGCGCCTCAGCAGATTGAACACTTCGACCTCCAATATAGAAAACTGCTAACAGCAAAAACAAACCCAAAAGTTAAAACAGCCACTAAACAACTTCACTTCTCCCTTCAAGGCAAACGAAAGAACTAAATAATCGAAAGCGCCGTGTGCCATTACCGAGCCCCCGCTCCCGCCCCTCAGCGCCGGCCGCCCCTCAGCGCGCGCGTGCCCCGGTTGCCACAGCGCCCGCTCTCTGCGTACGCGCCTCTTCGTGAATAGCGACCAACGCCGCCGAGCCGCGGGTCGGGCTGCGTCAGCAGCGTGAGCACCGCGCTTGGCAGTGCCCGCGCTGAGGGACTTACGTCAATGGCGTAGGTGGCAGTGGGGGCGCGGCCGCTGAGGGGAGCCGTGAGGGGACGGGGGATGTCGCCGTGAGGTCCCGGAGTGGCGGCTCTGTTCTGCCTCAGTTCTCTGCTCAAGTGTGGAGTCTCTCTCCTCTCCCCTTGTTTTCAAAGTAGTTTTACTTGAACAAAATCGAGGAAAATTCCGAGCGAACAAAATGGTGGTCAAGTTAAGGGCAGAAATACAGCAGGCGAGTGCCTTGGGCTACAAGGGCTGAAGGGACCCCGGTAGTTTTGGACTAGATTTTCTTTCCTAATCTTCTCCAGAATGTCACTATGAACAGCTAGAATGTGTAGTAAGGGTTTCCATTATTACTTAGTTTCACATAACTGTTCAGACGAAGGTACACGGGAAGAACGGATCATTGCAATGTTGTGGCACAATTTAAGGGTGTTCTGGGTTGTCTGATGTTATCTGGCATCAGGAAAAAAACTCTGAACAGCTTGTGCTATAAAAGGATAGTGCAGATAGTGAAGTCGTTGAGATGTTTTTCATTATGTCTGAGTAACAATTGTAATAATCAAAGTTCTTAAAAAGGATTTTACAAATCCAAAGTAATTCTGATCAGCCGGATTAAAATGCATCACAGGAATAGGTTCTGGTTTGTTGATCTTCAAAATCCATAAAAGAAAAATTGCTACTCTAAAAAGGAAAGGATTCATTTTTCTGCAACATTTTAGAGCTGATTATTTACTTTACAGGTGATTTACCTGAATTAGATTAGACTTCCACTATGTACTTGTAAAAGTTCACCTGATTTCCTTAGGAAGAACATGAACTTTTCTCAGCGTAGAAAGAGCAGGACCAAATCAGAGACCTGTCCCTCAGTGTTACCTCTGCTTTTGGTGTGAGTTGTTCTGTCTTTTCCTTCACTGCAACTTGGAGTACTGATTTTGTTAGTGGTCATGACGTTAACTTATTTTATGTATGCCTTCCTCATATCCTTTGTCTATCCACAGAAGCTGCTGGCACTACTGTTCTTGCAATGTTGAGATAAGGAGGGTTGTGATGCCATGGAGACACTGTGTTCCCAGCCCTCCCTGCTGACTGAATCCCCTTTCAGCTCTTTAAGAAGAGACAATATGCATCCTTCTCAGAATGTTTAGCAGCTTTTTATTTCTTTAATTATTTTCCTGTAATGGTGTGTCTTATTTGTTGATATGGTAAGTTGGGATGTGATTATGTGTGTGTCAGATTTAGATTAAATACATCAAGTATAAGTAAAAATCGCCTCTCAATTTTGAAATATATCTGTGTGGTTGTCTTGGTCCCTCCTGTACTTTGCATTCACTCAGATGGTTGAACTGTGGTTTTTGTAGCTTAGTTTGTGAAAGAGCTCTAGGAGAGAAGCACTGAGTGAATCTGTGTACACTGGACAAGTGTTTACCTTGCTTAGGAGGTGTTGAACTGCAACTAGAACATGCAGGAAGCAAGTAATGTTTGAAACTCTTACCAACTCGTGGAGTTCTTGTTTTCAGAACTACACTAATAGATCTGACTTTAATTAAGACATTAATATTACCATAAAATCATTCAAGCTGGCCAGAAGGGCAGGAGCATACCATAACAAGGGTCTAGACCTCTGGAGGTTTATTGGTTACAAGTAGCATAAGTGGAATTCTCCATATGCTAATAGATAAATTCTGTAATGTCACCTTCTTTGGTGAACAACCCATCAGCTACAAATCTGGGTTCTTTGTGGGGAAGTGGGTGTCTTGGTACAGTTGAGATCATATTTGTGCCTGAAGTGATTTAAAAGCAATTTCTCATGGAGGAGAAGGTAGGGGGAGAGAATACAAGAAAATAAAGATAGTGTAGAAAGTAATCTTACCCCTAAGGAGTTGCAGCTGGGCCAATTATCAAAGATTAGGAACAGCCTGACTTTACCAGGCCACAGCTGTAAGCAATGAGAAGAAGATGCTATAAAAGAGTGGGGTGGGCCCTTGAGAAGGGAACTGGGGTCAGTGGCTGCTTTGTGAAGAAGAAAGAGGCAGTGCTGTGAGGAGCTGTTCACAAGAAACACCCAGAGGGTCTGAAACTTTGGTGAGAGGAGCCAAAGGTATGGAATTTTTGCAGTAAGATGACAACAGGAGACTAAAACATTAATTTTTGCTCACTGTTTAAAATTACTGGTCTGCTTTGATATCCCCTTTAATATTTTTAGTTTGCTGCAGAAGTGGGAGAGGCTTGTCTCCTGATTCAAAGCCTCTTCCTTTATCAAAATATGACTGTTAGAAGGGGAGAACTTTGTTTTCTCCTGAAAGTTGAAAATTTAAATCCTAATGAAATACATAGTGAAATCTTTTAGCATCTTAAGTTGTATTCTGGCTTACTAAATACTGTCTAAGTTAATGAGTTAATCGACAAAACTTGGGTAATGCAAAATGGCTATCTAATATTCCTTGTCTTTGGTGTTTTGTACATTAGAAAGCAGGATTATTAATGAGCAGAAAGACATTTATGTAATTCAGAATGTCTCATTAGTGGCATGCGCATTCTGGCTTTAAAGCTGAGATGAAATCAAGTTGAAATGCTGGAAGAATCCCTTGGGAGTTTCTTTATAATTGCTGCTATGCTTAATATTAGCACTGTCACAGTTCCCCCTCCATTGGTTCCTTGCCTAATAGGCTAATCCTGCTCTTGGTATCCATATATACAAGGATCTCTGAACAAAATGGAGCTGTTGCCTAATTCAGGATTAGGGACCACTGGGTTTATTGAGGAGCAGTTTCTGATCAAAGGAAGCAAAGGACTCTATCTGTATGACCACTAGAACGAGTTTGTTGTTTTAAAACTACTGTTCTGTGTGTAGTTCAATTACTGCATCTCCGCCTTCCTGGGCTGTGGAAGAGGGGGAGGAAGGGAATTGTTGCAAACCTGTTGCTATGGCCACGGAGCAGGGGCTGGGCTGCTTGTGTGGCTGGAATCCTCTGCATCAGCTGCTGCTCGGTGAGTCCTTCCTTACACTTTGCTACGTGATGGAAATGGTCCCTTTAGAAATGTTCTTTTGAATGCCAGTAAGAAATCAGTCCCCTAATTTGAGTCCCCTCCCCCAGCAGCCCACGAGGTTTCCTTACATAACCAAATTGATGTAGCTCAGGTGAGACATCTGAATGCATTTGTGATTTTCATGTGAACATTCTTCTTTTTTCATGTCAGACAGATTTCATTCTTTCTGAGCTGATCTTGGAGGAAAGTTTGAGGTTGTGCCAACAAATGTGGCAGCTTCATCTTTCCTCCCTTCTTCTGACCACATGAAATCTGGGATCCCTAACATTATTTAATGTACTTAGTGCAGAGGCATTTGAAACAATGATGAGTAAGATTTTAAAATTAAACACTGCAGAGTCCTTTGAGAGCTAAACTGTGAGCACTTGGCTTGAATTAAGTGAGCAATTCTCTGCCCTCCCAGGGAATTAGAGTTGGTGCCTTGTAGTTTCAGAAGGCCACTGCTTGCTGCTATAGCTGTGCACACTGAGGTGTCCTGTTTGCATGGGAAACAGCTTCCCCTCCTTGCACACTGAGTTGAAGAACCTCCAGTTGAACTGGAAAGAAAAAAGGAAAAAAAAGATGGCAAGTCTGCAAGAACTTGGTTAGTCTTTGTGGAGGGAATTCCTGAATACTGTGTTTCTCTTTATGTATTTTCAGACTTGTAGAATTTAACTGAACTTGGAGAATGAAGTCCAGCCTAACGCATTGGGTTCCCCCAGTGAGTAGAGGAAGAATCATCTCCCAGTTTCCCAAGGTAAGCATTTCTTATCCCTTTGGTCACAGTATGTAGTCCCTGCCACACTGATCTATCTTTCCATTGTGCTAATATGGTATTTTAATTTAATTTAGTGTACACTTGTTGTCTTCTGTTAAAATTGCAAGGTATTTAAGATTCTTTCAAAGTTTAATGTGACCTCATAGTCCCATTCAATGCTGAACTCTTTAATAACAATCCTCATTCTTCTTTCTAACCTTTACAAAAAGTGACTCTTGTGACACAAGTGTTATCTTACAATATTTGTTTTTTCAGCAAACAGTAATAATTACATGAATAAGAGCCTCAATACTGAGTGCAAAGAGGAACCAGAGCTGACATTAAATTTGCCAAAAAAATCTAATTAGAAGTCTTTGGTTAAAGAATTTGAGGCAATTCTAATTTTCTGTTTGTACAAGAACCTTAGTCAGACAGTAGATCAAATGTAGTGGGCAGGCACTGTAGAAACACAGACAAAATACCTTTGATGTCCCTAAAGACTTCTGTATTTGAAGTATAATAGAACAGTGAAGGGCTGGGAATTACCACTTGTTTTTTTTCAGTTGTTCAAAAGATCCTTTTAAGGGAGTTCACTTTTTCCATTCATCTTAGCCATGTATTTTGCCTTTAATTTTATGAAAAGTACCACAGGTATTTTAAACAAATGCAAGGTAAAATATATTTTCCTCCTATTTAACTAATTCCCAGTTAAAGGGTTAGTAATAAAAACAGTGCTTCACACTTATATACAATTGAAAAAACTTCACAGTAATCATGACTTGGTGGTGGTGTGGTCCCATCCATGTTTTTCTAATGACTTGCTGGTGGTATGGTCCCATGGTGGTAATAATGACTTGCTGGTGGTATGGTCCCATCCATGTTTTTCTTGGATTGTTGGGATAATTGAAGGCACTTGCTGGGGCACAGAATGATGAGCAAGTGGATTTGGCCATGAGTGCTTAGGCAATGCTGACACTGGCACTCAGAAAGGAGCTCCAAGGATGGTGCTGTCCTAAGGAGTTTGAACAAACACAGCTCTGGGGAAGCCTTTCTGCCTTCTAACCCAGCCTAGCCCTTTCCTTGTGCCAGGCTAACAAACCCTGTGAACAATCACTTCATCTGCTTTTCCCTGCCAGTTGGACTTCTTGCCAAGGGGCCATCAGGCAGTTTGTCCCAGCAGCTGTTGTCTCTTTTCAGTGGTACACACCTGAGGCCTGTCTGCAGCTGAAGGAGCACTTCCATGCACAGGTCAGGAGTGCTTGTCAGCAGAGCCCTGGAACAGCTGGGTGAGTTTGTAATAACCCAGGTATGCAAGGAAGGAAGTATCTGAAGCTCTTTAGAGCCTCCTTTCTTCCTTGGCTTTTCTTACTCCAGTGTGTTTCAAGGCAGCAAAGCCCCTGCAAGGGGCAGTTCTCTGACCTGTTCCACAGTGCATGAATTGAGTGCCTCTTCTTCTGCTGGGATGGCATTGAAAAAATGCTGTAGTAGTTTAGAAATGAAAAGGTTTTTAACACCCTTTAAATAAACACTTAGTTCAAAAGATCTAACAGATCCAGCCTTGCTGTGTTCTCTGTAGGTGTTCCAAAGGAGCAGTTAATAAAGGCTTTGCAGGGATATAAAGGCAGCAGTTCCAAGTTTCTTGAAAAATCTGGGAATCTGGTTTTAGTCTTTTTGAAGAGATATACATGCTGAGAAGTTCTCTTAAAAGGTTCCTTAAAACTGGAGCAAAATTCTGGTAAATATATAGCATTTAAAAATCAGAATAAGCTGATTTATACTCTACTAAGAATCTTGAAGTTGGTTTTTTCTCTGCATTATCTCTCCACCAGAACTGTTACTATTACTGATTTCATCTCTGAAGTAAGGCAAGACAGCTAAACTGTGTTGAAATCATCACTATTCAGTTAAAATAAATAGCTGTACATTTTAGTGATAAATGCTTCTGGTTTCAATGTGAAGGATCCTCCATAAAGTGGAGCTCCTATGAATACTGGCAATTAGCTCACTATTCCTCCAGCTCTGGAGTTGCTGACATGAGACTTGTCATGATATCCATCTTTAAATGCAACTTTATATTCATTTCACTAGGGAGTCTTGCTAAAAAAAAAAAAAATTAACTGAAAATATGTCACCCTGAGAGACATCAGTGACTTTATTCCTTTTTTAGAAACACAGTCACTATCTTAGTTTCATGTAAATTTGTTACAAGTGTCTGGACAATTTTCCAGGTAAGATGTGCTTTGTTGAACTGAGGTAGTTTTTTCCTTCCATTTCCAAGTTGTATTTGTTTGGGATTTTTATTATTAGGTTTTTGGGTTTTTTTATTTCTATAGTAAACCAACTCTGTATGTAATTTATTCTGGTAACAGAGTATAACTAAAAAGCTATGTTTTGTCTTTGTGAATAGAATTAAACTCCTTCTGTCACTGCTTTCTAGAGATGATTATTATTTGGTCATTTTTTGGTGGAGTGGGAGTAGGAATGGCAGCCAGAGTGTTTTGTACAGTACTTGTAAAGCTTGTCAGGAATAACCATCATCTTTTCCTTTTCCATTACCCCAACTAATAAAATATTTCTTTTTCCTTTGGAAAGCTAGTCTGATAAATTCAGCAGCTAATGGCTTTATTTAATACTCTCCTGACATCCTGACAGTCCCTCATTGTGTTACCTGGGCTGATCTAGGGAGTCTTTTTTTCCCCAGTACAAATTGATGGAACAAACACCTCTAAACCATCCCTTACTCCTTGGCTTTTCCCTTAAGGTTGATGATTTGATTCAGTATTTTCTCAGTAACAGTAATCAGGAGCACAGGGGTCTGTGGTCACCCAGGTAATGTTGACTGGCACATATAGCTTTATTTTTCTTTTTTGGAGATATTGGCCATGCAGTTTACCAATCAATTTTTCAGCTATTTAGAATAGATTAACTTGGCATCAGCATCACATGGAAGTTGATGTAACCAGAAATAGTATTCAATAGAAGATGAACTCCTTTGTTAAAAAGCCATTCCTTGATAGAAAAGAGCATTAAACCTCTCAAGCCATTTTTGTACCATTTGCACAGGAGATGTCAATCCAAGTTTAGGTCAACAAATGAATTTAAATTCACTTACCCACCTGGATCTCCTAAAAGAGATACAGTTTCAATTTTAAGAATGCAGGCTGAGTCACCTAAAGCCCATCTGCTGTGTCCTGGGGGAGGACCCAGAGCAAAGAGGATTATTTGCATGAAGCCAGGGTCAGATTATTATTATTGCAGGTAGTCAGAAAATGTATTGCCTCTAACCCTGTGGGCCTTTTTTCCCAGAGGCACATTCTGCAATGGGTTATTTTACTATCAGCAATTTCTTATTTCTGCACTTAGGACTTTGTTTGTACTATTAAAGTCAATGAGAAACTTGAGATAAATTGGAATACAAAGGATGCAGATGCACTATGGTCTTATGTTTAAACCTATGTAAAATCATGCCAAATGCATATACTTATAGTCAAAGAAATTTTAATAGAATAAAATTTGTTCCACTGAATTGAAATTAAGAAAAAACTAGAGTAACAAATGGACTATTCTGCTCCAGAAGGGTTTGGTCTCTTGGTGACTTGCTTTCTCACTGTTCAAGACTCAGACTGTGCAGCACAGTGGCATGTAGATAAACTGAAATCACAGGTACCTGTGCTCCTCACTTGCAATTTAGAGATCTAAATCAGAATTTTTAGAAGGAGACTGTGAAATTACTACTAACACTATGTAATCTTTTCAAATATTTATAACAGGCTGAAAATATCCAAAGTGGTTGTGGTAGGAGACCTGCATGTTGGCAAAACCAGTCTTATCAACAGGTATGGTATATCTCAGCTGATGGTTTGATTCTCCTGTTTCTCAGATAAGTGTTATAACATCTCCATTGCTGGCTTTAGAGCAGTGCTCCATGGTTCTGCTTGAACCTGAACCAGTACTTTGTGGTTTTGTTATTAAAAGAGGAGAAAATCAAGTCCAGAGTATGAGACAGTTTTGGTACATTACCACAGAAAGTTGTGCTCTAGCACTTCAATCAGTAGGTGTTACATTCTTGGGTAATTTTATCCAGTCAAATATGATACAGTGTTTTCTTAAGGAATCCAATCCAAAGGCTAAACAGTTAGAAAACAATTTCAGTGTCTGAGCCTAGGTTTCATTTGGGTCATTATTTACGACCCAAAATATATTCCCTTGTAACTGAAACTGCAAGATACTGTACCCCCCTTGAGAGCCCAAAGATGTTTGATTGAGTCTCCCATTATCCTGAGAGCTTCCTAGATATATGTGCTTTCTAGTTTGTTAAACAGTATCTCCTTTTCTTTTGGTGTCTTTATGTTTTTATGTCTGCTTCTGCATTACATAGAAAATCTTTTGTCTGCTTCTACATTATCTAGAAAATCTTTTATGTCTGCTTCTACATTATCTAGAAAATCCACAGTTAGTTTTTTCTTTTCTTCATAATTTACCCCAGACAGTGTTAGTTTTGCAGTTATTTGTACTTGTCTTGTGAGTTTTTAATCCTTTTTTTTCCTCAATTGCAGATTTTGTAAAGATAATTTTGACCGAGACTACAAGGCAACCATTGGAGTAGATTTTGAGATGGAACGTTTTGAGATAATTGGAATGCCATATAACCTCCAGATGTGAGTTGAAAGAGCATGGTTAAGCATTGCACAGAGTACAGTCTCAGCAGAGCTTGAATTGCTGCAGGCTGTAGTGGAATAAAGACTTTTAAAATATGATACAATTGCACAAAGAATAATGTGATCTGAAGAAAAGATTCTGTCTCTGGACTTAGTTTTAGTAGAAATTTTACTCTTGGATTTCTCATGCCTAAAAAAATATTCCAAGCTTGTAAATGAAAATTCATCTTGAATGTGTTGCACTATTTCAGTGGAGTTCTGTCACTTTTACTCAACATTCATGAAAGAGAAGTGGAAGCTTTTGTCATAGTGGTGGTGTAACCCCAGTCTCTTATCTGAGTTTAGTAGGCACAGTGAGCAGTGAGCTTGAACTTGGCTTTACTGGGGGTTTTATTCCTGCAGTTATTGAAATTAATGATAAGGTGTCCAGTGATTTCAACATCTCTTAATTAGCAACTAATTAATTATCCCTAAATCATAGAAAGGCTGGAGTGGTTTTATTAGAATGTGAACCTGATATCTTGGATTTTCAGCTTTGCTTGTCAGACTGGTGGGAACCCTGCCCTTCACCTGCTTAGGGTCTGTGGAGTGGTGTCCCTTTGTTCCTGTGGCCAGCCACATTGTTCTGTAGAGGGCATTATGGGATCCTCTGCAGTGTGACCTACAGCAGATCTAAGATGCTTTGCATGAGACATTTTAGTGCATTAATTTTAAAAACCTTTTTACTTAGGAACACTTTTCTTTTTCCTGGTGAGATCACTGATGTAAATAGATGGCTTGTGGTATTTATTGAAAAATCCATTTCCCACTGATTTCACTGTCATTGTGTTTGGGAAGTTTTGCCAGGTGCTTTCTTTTTGGAACTTGAGTCCCTCTAAAAATCCAGCCTCGTGCATCAGCACTTTGCAAACTGAAGCAGTAGGGTCAGGTTGCATTATCTGCAAAGTCTGCAGAAGCTGGGTAGAACATTTCCATATGATAAGCACTAGTGCCCCCTCTTGCTGAGAGATTTCCATACAAGATACATCTGCAAGTATCCATGACTGGCAGTGCTAGGCTACAACAAAACCCACACCTCTGTAGTGCTGGCAGTAGCTGATGGCACTGCAAATCATGTTCATTAATGAGAAGGACATTCTTGATTTTATTTAATGGTCTCATTAGTACCTGCTAGACTGACCTGCAGGTCTCTAATTTAGTGTAGAGACAGATATCTTATCTAGCAGTTGCAAGATTCTAACATGGGCTAATACATGACTGAGCTAGTATTAGCACAGAAAATTTACAAAACTAGATTGCCCTAGAAATACATACAAATTACATAGGTGAAAGAAAAAAATGTTTTAAAGAAAAGACATTACCATGCAGAATTGGCTCCAAAATGATTAGTGCTTTTTAAGAAAAGGTAAAAATGGTGTTTGCATGTCTTCATTGACTAATAGAACTTGAGTGTATTTCTCTCAGTAGTTAATGAATAACATGTTCCAGATGGTGACACCTCCCTGGTATCACATTCTTCCCTGCCTTGTACCAGTCTGCTGCTTCATTAACATGTTTACTCAGGTTACCCTGGGTTTCATTAACCTGAAATTTCTTTTTTCCCCCTGTTGCACAGATGGGACACAGCAGGTCAGGAGAAGTTCAAGTGCATTGCATCTGCTTACTACCGAGGAGCAGAGGGTGAGAGCAATATTAATTTGATCCTGCTTTTGTTGGGAGGCTGTATTTTGGACAGCAACCTAGATCCATGTATGCTCCTCAGGAAGGTACCTACAGACACACTGTGGTGGAATGGATTGTCCATTGTTGCAGGGAAGAAGGGATGAAGAAGTTCATGACTTGATGTGTTGTCACATCTGTGAGCTCTGATGTTCTGATGGTGCACTGATAGAAAGTGGCACTTGTGACTGGGGGAAAGAATTTGAGGTTGGGTGAGATTAATGCTGGAGTTGGAGGTGGCTATTTCTGGCTTTCCCCTTGGTAAGACACAATCCTGTGTTAATTTGTGGTCCCAAAATGAAAGGGTTGATAGCACTATAGACTGCAGACTATAGATAAACCACTGGGGACTAAGGACTTGGGTCTTATTGGGTGCTAGAAAAAGAAAAGGAATGAGCAAATGGATAGTCCTCCACTTCCTATGTGTTAAATCTGTTCTTACACCTTATACATAAACATTCTCTCTGTTTAACAAGACAGGTTGGAGAGACTTCTGATACACTTTCTAATTTAATTGCCTTTTTTCTGGTCTTGTCTTTTATTGCAGCTATAATAACAGTGTTTGATCTGGCTGATATCCAAACTTTGGATCACACCAAGTAAGTTTCTGCATTTTGGCTTATCTTTTAAAGGTTTTTACAGCAGGTTTAATTGCCTTCCATATGTAGGTGTTAAGAGCTTGCTGGATCATGAGTGTATTTTCTGTTGAGCTAAGAAATTAAAAATGACAGTTACTAGTTTGGATTACATAGGGAGGGATTTTTCTGAAGAAAATGCAGAGCATGAATTTGAACTGCTTACACTTGACTTCCTTTAAAGTCAGTGCAGAGAGAGAGGCACTTCAGTGAAAGCTTGATCTTTCCAAAGCCAGACATGCAGCAAAAGATGAAGTGCACTCCAAAGGCTTTTTTTTTTTTTTTTACTTCATTTGGTATAAATAGAATAACAGGCTGGAATCTAATGTAAATGATAAAATTGATGAGATGCATGCCATGCATGATGTCTCAAGGGCCTTTCATTTTTTAGCTGCACTGTTATCCCAATTTTTTTTCTCTAGTTTCTGCTGGGATATAGGCTGCCAAAAAGAGGAGAGAAAATTAAAACTCCAAGTGTGTGTGGATACAGCTAAACTTACTAGTTCAGATCCTTGTAATGATTTGGTTACAACCCACTAATTGTTATGAGTACACTCATTGTGCTTTTAGTGCAGGCTGCAAAGCCCTGCATGGGTCTATGATGCACACTGCTGTCACAGCTCAGGGTATATGGATTTCTAAGGTGCTGTTGTGACTGGAATGCAGGTACAGACTTCTTTACAACCTGTACTCTGTCTGATTTGAATGTGTACTATGGTGCTTAGCTCATTTACATAGGACTTTGTAAAATAATATATATATTAGTGTCTCTGCTTGGCTGAAAGTAATTGAAGCCTGTGAACCTGATTTCCCACACATGCACACACTCCCTTCCCTCCTTGACTTGTGTTGGATGACTCAAGAGAAACTTGATTGCCAGAGTAACAAGAATATAAAAGCTTGTGAGACAAGAATCATACAGCCTTCATAGGGAGCTGTTTTATAATGCTGAATAGATTATTTCACCCTTTATTCCCATTTGTATCTAACCTGCTATGTGGTTCATACCTTTTCAGTTGCTTCTTGCTTTCTTACTCCTTATCTTGCACCAAACTTTGCCCTCTCCCTTACACTGAGGAATCTCCTCTCTGGGTGCTGAAGTGATTGTTGAATTTGTACTCTGCCATGGGTATGGTTTTTCCTTAATGGGAGACATATTCAAAGGAGTTGGAATAGCTACTGCTCTCTCTGTCTAGAAAAAGAGGCTTTTGATACTCTCACACAAGTTCTGCCACTCACTTTTCTTGTGACCCTTTTATCTGTCATATTCTCCTGTACTCCTTGTTCCCTCTGACTGTTTTGTTTGGGGTTTTTTTTGATATTTCAGACAGTGGTTAGAAGATGCATTGAGGGAAAATGAGCCAAATTCCAGCTTCATCTTTCTGGTTGGAACAAAAAAAGATTTGGTGGTGAGTAAATTGAGTGCAGATAAGGAAATCAGATTTCCCTAGTTCCTCAAGCCATTTCCCTTGCAAGTTGTGCACAATGTCATTGAGATAAAGACCTTGAGTGAAAAATTTAAAAGGTAAATTGAAGAGGCCACTTGAAACCAATTAAAGGAGAGACTGAAAAAAATGGGTAGTTAGTGAAATATATCTTGCATGACATTTTTCAAGCATTTATAAACGAGCATAGTGATCTTGAAGGTTTTGTTGTTGTTCTGTAATGGTTCATAGGTTTTCTTCTTTCTCTCCATTTAAAATAACTGCAGTACAAAATCTAGAGCATTATATGTATTTTTGTTATGCCAGCAAGCCTGACATGCTGGATATGAATCCCAGAAACATGGAATTCTAAGCTAGATACTCACGACTGAGTGTTAGAGTTCAGAGAGCTATTGGAAAAATTAGAGGGAGATTGGTTTTTAAGGAATGGTGTGTTCATTACTCAGGAACAGGGAAGGTTTCTTACTTAATTGAATAGCACATAATTTTCAAAAGAACAGGGTGAATGCAGTTTCTCTATACAATTCTCAGCCCTGTGTTTGTCTTTCTGTAGAAAAAAGCTTTTTTAAAGCTTTGAAAAAAACCTTGTTTATTCTGTTACTGGTTGGTCCCACAACTCTTCTGCTGAGAGTGATGGGCTGACAAGGATTTCAAGACCATTACCTGGGCTGCTGACCTGATTGTCCTTTACCAGGGGATGTGCTAGAAACAAGAGCCACTTGTTAACTCTTGTTTTATTTCAGTGCTGTGGGAGCTGAGTGGAGCCTTCCATTTCAGGCCAGTACTAAAGAGTTGAACATTCTTGCAGCCATGTCTGATTACCCAAGCCTAGGCAAGGCCAGAAAGGCCACTGAGAAAACTGGAAGCATCAGTGTGGGTCTGTGGCAGTGCCTGGTGCTGTCAGCAGCCCAGACACAGGTTTGTTTGCCCAGTCAGGTGCTGTGTGTGACAGGACAGAGCTGGATGCCATCCGTTTTGCCAAGGCCATGCAGGCAGAGTACTGGTCGGTGTCAGCCAAAACAGGTAAATTACTGCAAAGGATGTGAAAACAGCATAACCACGAGGGCTGATGTGGAGTGGGAGGAACTTCTTATCCCCCCCAGTGCTGGTTTTTTGTTGTTCTTGTGTTTTGTTGCCATGAGAAACTTCAGGCTTATTAATGGCTGATTTTATTTCAGCATTTGTATGTGTGCTTTCACTGTTGTGTGTGCAGAAAGAAATAATCAAGCTGCTTTGCAGTATCTGAGCATGTATAATTCATAGATAGTTACATAAATACACATGTGCACTACTACTCAACGTTTGCAATGGAAAAAGATGACACCACAAAATGAATTCTCTCTGTTGCTGGCTAAAAATAAAGGTGCAGCACAGGGTACAGTATTCCAAAGTAAGAAAATAAGAAATTCTTTCTGCAGTGATCAGATTGAGAGACAGATTGTTGGGGAGGCCTGTTCTGTCCCAATATTGAGTAGTCAGCTGTTGACAGATGTGCTTGTTATGCCTGATCATCTGTTGATGTGCTTTTGTAAAACTCATCATTTCTGTCTTGTTTCCTAGGAGAAAATGTCCAAGAATTCTTTTCCCGAGTTGCTGCCTTGGCCTTTGAACAGTCCATGATAAAGGAGCTGGAGAGCACTCCTGGGCACAGGGCCCAGATTGGGGCAGGAAATCTCATCAGTATGTGGAGTTCTGCTTTTTGTGTGCATTTTTCTTGTTTATAGCCCAAAGGACTGGGGAGGTTTTTCAAGCATTAGACCAGTTTCAAACACCTGCAAGCATCTTCATATCATTGTCTGCCCAGGTTTAGCATACAGGAGTGACTGGGCCTGCATTCTGCTTTTGTTACCCTTAATATCAGATGGTAGAACTTCTTGTATGTTGATTTGATAACTTTTTTGTTTCCACAGAGCTAGAGAAGAACACAATGGAAGTTCCAGAAGACAAAGCTCAAGTCAGCCTGAGTTGCTGCTAACTGTCACCTGTTTCTGCAAGTGCCACAATGCCCTCAAACCAGAAATAGTGAGCTTTAATTTTAGAAATGAGGAAGGAAAAACTTACCCAAACTTTCTTGCTGAGAGTTCCCTTGCTGCTGCAGGCTCCCTGTGCAGGGTGGTACAATTGTTATGCAAACCTTTCTCTGTGTAGCTGAAACATAACATCCTTGTCTTAATGCAGGAAGACATTGCCAGTGCTGTGGGCTCACCTGTCTGCCAAAAAGGCTTGTAGTCAAAAATGATGTCACTTTAGTGTGTTGTTTTCTGATAATTCTCTAGAAATCTTAGCTAGTGAAGTGGCATTCTCTAGTGGGAGCAGGAAACAAGTGGCAGTTCAGAATGAAGGGTGGTGTCAATATGGTTTTGCCTTTTAAAACAATCCTGTAAAATAACTCTGATTTGCTTTTATTATGCATTCCAAGTATTTTAAAACAATTTGAAAGTAAATCTTTTCAAATATCAGACTTGGAAGTACACAAATGCAGACTGCATAGTTTCCACTGTGGTTTCTCCATCCAGGAAAAATGTTGATTACTTTTCATTTTCCACTTGAGAATCAGAGCCCAGTATTAAATATTTCCAAGCCTAAAAGAAGTCCAGGTAGGAACATAGTTGTTTTAACACAGCTGTCTAATATTTTGAAAAATGTTGCCAGATAAGAATGCTATTCTTTTCCATTCTCTTGAATAAGAAACAATGGTCACACAGGTGCATAAAATGGAACATATTATTTCCCTCAAATTTTGCCAATAGCTCTCTGAACTCTTAATACTCTGTTGTCTCTAGCCTAGAATTCCATGTTTCTAGTATTAATATCCAGCATGTCAGGCTTGCTGGCATTAAAAATCTATATATAATGCTCTAAATTTCATATTGCAATTAATTTAAAGGAAGAGAAGGAAAACCTATGAAGGTACTGTTTCTTAGGTTATTTATTCAATTGTTGCAGAATCAAGAGTATCTTTAAAAATAATTATAACAGGACTCAGATTTGAGCTGCTGAGAAATGCAGACATCAATAAAGAAATGCATCAATCTGAAAATATTCTGGATTCTCTGCCATTTTTCCCACTTTGATAAGAAATTGGAAAAAGTGGAGAAAAGAGCTTGAGCATGCTTGTATTATTTTCCCTTTTGACGTAAGTTAGAGCAGCTTCCTAGAATATGATGAATAGAGATCTAGGAACTCTGTGTCTTTTTTTGTCAGATAATCTTCACTTTGGCAATTGTGCTGCCTGTTGGCAAGGACACAAATGTAGCATTTGGTGGAAAAAATGAATCTGTGAGGGTACAAAAGGAGCTCTTTATCCAAATGTGTAATGTTTTGACCTTCTGATGTTCTATGCAGTTGTTCAGTTCCAGAGTCTGCTTCACAAGAGAGGTGAATTGACACTGTGCTTGTAGCACAGGCTCTGGCTGGGCAGCCATGGCCTTGTGTTTGCTGAGTGAGAGTGGAGATGGTTCACTCTGCTGCAGCTGATCAGGTTAGCTGGGCTTCAGTGCTGACACAAAAAATGCTTACACTGCAAAATGACTCAGGAACAAAGCTAAGAAAATATCCATTTTTGGTTGTTTTTTTTTCCACCAAGAAATATATTTCCTAAGGGTTTCTTCTGTTGCTGAGCTCCATTATTGTACAAAGTCACAGAGATGCAATGTCTGCAACAACACGATCATGTTGCCTGGGAAATCAACTGGGACAGGTTTTTCCTAGGGATTCAGCACATTGCATGATGTCATTGCTGTTTTGTGTCATCTGGAGCTCCAGAAACTCCACATACAAATGTAATACTCTATCAGTCATCAGCCATCATGGCACAATAGCCTAAGTCTATTAAATGATGGATGCTTTGAGACTGGGTGGTTTTTGTTTGGTGGTTTGTTGGGTTTTTGTTGGGGTTTTTGTTGTAATTTTTTGTTTGTGTGTTTGGGTTTTAAGGGTGTTTTTAGCATCACTGAAACCTCCCCTGCAAAGAACTCCATATTAATAATTTATCATCTAAAATGAATCTTGGATCATGTTGCAAATGATTAGTTGCTTAGAAAAGCACAAAAGAAACTAACTATAGAAAATAAATATAAATGTGTAAGTTCTACCTGGTCAATGTTTTATCTCTGTAAATTCATTCTATCAGCAACTTAATTGACTTTGAAGAAGCTTTAGTATTTTGGAAAACGGTGTTGAAAAAACTTTATTAACTCTCACTATAGGTAGGGTAAACCATGATTTCTATACCAGTTGAAATCCCCCCAGTGATCATGGCAATAGTAACAGTTTCAGCTTCCTTGTGGAATTTGCAGGTGAGAAATTGAAGTAAACTTTGGAGTCAGTCTGAAGCAAAGGTAAAGAGCAACTGTAACAATCCATTTCCCAAAAGAAGTACTGAAGTTGTGCTGTTTCTTGTCTTTAATATGTAAAAGTTAATGTGTTCATGGATTGTGGATGCATTTGTGCTGAGCAAATCCTCTGGTGATGGATCAAAAGCCATTCAAGAGAGCCACCTGACAAAGTTAATTTCTTACTATAAAAGCCTTTTCTTTTAATTTTTAACAGTGTTATTCATCTTTAGAGTTATTTGACACTTAAGGTATGGCTGTTTATACTTATATAGGTCATGGGATTCAGAACTTTGTAAATCCTGTTGGTTCCCAGCTCAGGTTTACATTGTGGTGGAACTGGACTCCATTCTCCATGAATAAATCTGTCCCCCTCTGTCTTCAGCTTCCCATTGATAGTTAGAGGTTGTTCTGATGTAACACACTGGGGAGTGAATGCCCTGAACACTCTGTATCACACCTCTGAGCAGGCAAGTTCAAGTGAAGTGTTTGGCAAGGAGAACATGGATTTGGTGATGGAGAGGGTTGATCACTTTCCTGTGAGAACTTCAAGGTCAAAAACACAGTGAGAAATTGCCATTGTCTGAATTTGGAGAGGGAGAGTTCTTTTTTTTCCCCGGCTTCATAGAATGATTTAGACTGAATGGGACTTCCCAAGACTCGTCAGCTTTGTCCAACTCCTCCAAGAGTGCTGCTTTGTGTTAACAAAAATCCGATTTTTCAGTTTCAGCCACGTATTAATCAGAAACCATGTTTTATTTCTCATTGTAAAAGCTCAGCCTATGTCCTACGGTTTTTGGTTTGTTTGTCCTTAAACCCCCCGGTTCTTCCGGTGGGATGATGCTGAGGAGCATCGCTCGAGTGGCAGCTCGAGAGCTCTACCCAGAGCCGAGCGGCTCCTTCTTCCCACCAGAGGGAGCCCGGCGGTCGCCGCAGGATCGGATCCGTGCGGGTTCGAAGCGCTTTGCGATCTCTCACCGGCCAGCAGAGGGGATGTGCGGCCAGGCCGGCCTGAGCTCAGCCCCTCATCGCAGGATCTCGGGCTCACATCACAGGTATGTGTCTGCCGCCGTAAAGAAATTTTATATCCAGTTAAAATGCTGCTGTCTTCAATGCATAAAGTATCAGCAAAAATTCAGAGAACGCTTCAATTCCCAGTGGAATTTCTGGAGTTGTGCTACCTCAGTAGATACAGAGGGTGTAGTTGTTTGACAGTGTTATTCACTCAAAGGTAAGTGTGCACACAGAAATCCCTCTTGTGACTCATTACAGTTCTTCCTCCCTCCAGAAAGGACACAAATGTCAGAAAAGCAGAGCCAAATAGAAACCACTCCAGAAATAAATCAGAATGCTGAGCCTTCAGTAAAAGTTCTATATGAATTCAGAACAGATCCCAGTGATGTCACATACCTGCCATTGTTTATAACCATGCCAGTACAATCTTATTATTCCTAGAAATACATTGCATGTCAGAATTTTGTTGGTCAAACTGCTGCTAAGCAAACAAATAGTATCAATAGAGAAAAGGCAGTTTATTTCTGGGACAGATTGAGAAGTCTTGAATGATTTATAGAGTTATTTATTAAACATATAGATTTTATAATTATTTAGCTCATAATCTGTTTTCCATATAGGTCAGCCAAAGCCTGTTCTGTGTTAAAAGCTGAGGAAACAAGTGCAGGAAAAGCAGTTAAAGCCAGGAAACAAAACCAAGAGGGATGGACTATGCAAAAGTGAATATATGAGTAGCCATTTGTGATATAGCTGAAAGTACCCCAAAATATTTTCATTGGCATATAAAAAAGCATGGAGAGGAAAACTGTTTAATGGATTTTGAAACAGTACATATCTCAAAGGTAAGAGAGCTACTCCTGTGGAGTTGTGCTTTTCATTCCTATGGGATTTTATTAGTTCTTATCAGAGCTATATCCCACTCTCTTTTCTAGCAACATGTACCAGAAAAATATGCTTCACCAGAACCACGAAAGAAACAGTTTTATGGGGGATATGAGGGGTCCATATTGTCTTTGCCTGTCCTCCAAACAGCAAAGATGGAGCTTTGGTTGCTTGTTACCCTTTTTTTAGAGGTTGAATTAGTATATGGAAAGGACACATGCTGTAAGCAAGGTTAAGAAGGAAGTGTGATGGTGTGATTTCAGAAGGAAAATAATACCTGGTAGCCAGAATTTGTTTAAATCATTTGCCACCCTTCACCCAGAGGTGAAGTGTGGGGCTAAATAATATATAGGACAAAAGTGAGACTAATGCCCAAGCAAAGCAGCCTTTATTGTCAGTATCAGAGTTATTTTGGAGTAGCAGTTGCCCATCTCTGAAACCCAGCTTATAATTTATTGGCAAGGAAGGTAGGATTGAGGGACTGACAAGCCTGCTACTACCCAGCACTTACGTGAGTGGGGGAAAACGTGACCTTTGAAGGTGAGCTGCATCAATGCCTGGGGGGAGAGCCTTGCTATGAACACAAGAGCGAGCACAGACGTGCTGCTGTTTATACATAATATATGAGGGCACGGCTGTATGGCCGGGAATGGATACCTCCCTATGCACACAGGGCTGTGTGCTTGGCACGTTCTTAATCAGTCTTAGCTATGGTCATGTCCGTACGGTGCGAGGATGCCCAGGCTGCAGGGGTGAGCGGCCGGGACCGCTCAGGACTTTGCCTTTGTCTCACGGGCAGCCGTGAGGAAGGCGCGGGGCCCCCCCACCCCCGCGGCTCCCCTGGCCCGGCTGCCCCTTTAAGAGGCCCCAGCGCCGTGTCAGTGCCTGCGCCGGGTCCTTCCCTCCCCTCCCCTTCCGCAGCGCCGCCGGAGCCGGGCCGCGATGGGCCGGCCTGGGCAGCGGGGGCTGCGCCGCCGGGGGGGCTCCCGCGGGGCCGCGGGGCGCTCGGGCACCGCCGGGTAGCGGCGGAGCTCGGCCGGGACGCGCCGCCGCATCGCCGCCCGCGCGGGGACCGTGTGCGCCCCGAGCGCAGCACAATAGCCGGGAGGAGGAGACAGGGAAAGGGGCAGGGGGAGAGGAGGAGAGAGAAAGAGAAAGCACAACACGGGGGCTGCCGAGGCAGCGCGGAGCGGAAGGCTCCGGAGCGTGGCCGCGCTGAGGACCGTGCCCAGGACGGCGGCGACAGGAGGTGGGTGGGGGGCGATATTTACCTTCCCTCCCCCGCCCCGAGCCCGCTCCTTTGTCCACGCGCTTTGAAGTGCTCGGGGATCGCCGGGGTGGGAGCATTGTTGTTCGGCAGCAAACGATCGGTCATGCCGGGGAGAGAGTAGCGAGTGTACGCGGGGCTGGGGCCGGCAGAAGCAGAAGGAGACGGGGAGGAGAGACGATTGCGAGAGAGGATTGCTGCCTGCCTCCCGGTGCCCTGCATGGACCGCGAAAGAGACGCGCTGAGTTGACCCTGCCCGAGCTGTTTCTGCTTCTACATGTGAGATCCGGTTGGTTTTTTCTTTCCACCTCTTTCTCTCCAGCCTCCTTCTCGTATTCTCCACTTACTCCCGTATGCAAAATGGTGGACCCTGTGGGGTTTGTAGAGGCTTGGAAAGCACAATTTGCAGACTCTGAGCCTCCTAAAATGGAGCTGAAATCTGTGGGAGACATTGAACAGGAACTGGAGATGTGCAAAGCATCTATCCGGAGACTGGAGATGGAGGTTAATAAGGAGAGGTTCCGCATGATTTACCTGCAGACTCTTCTGGCAAAGGAGAAAAAAAGCTATGATAGACAGAGATGGGGTTTTAAACGTGTTTCTCAGTTGCCTGAAGGGGGTGCAGAGCAGCAGATCCAGGACCTGCATCATCACCAGTCTGCTGACCAGGACGAATATGAAAAAAGCAAGTCACATCACGGGGAGGAAAAGTTCAAACCCAGGATACCCTCTATGCGGAAGCTGTCCACCCAGAGCGATGGGTCAGACCTGTCACCTTTGGACAGCCCCCACCACGGGGAAGGAGAGCAGGACAGGTGTAAGTACTACGGTGAAGAGAAACTGAAGAGAGTTGTAGAAGACACGGAGAATCGCTGCGATACAGATGGCTCTCCTTCAAAACACAGATCAGCTTCCACTCGCAGACTGGTGGGATCTGCTGAGAAGGAGGGGTCATTTGAACCTAAGGAGAGAGGGAACAGCACCAGTGTGGCAGCCTTAAGGTCCAATTTTGAGAGAATGAAAAAGGTGAATTCGCACTCTTCTGGTGACAACAAGGATGTTGTTGAGAAGCCCTTTTACGTGAACATGGAGTATCATCACGAGAAGGGTCTAGTAAAGGTCAACGATAAAGATGTTTCAGATAAAATAAGCTCCCTTGGCAGCCAAGCCATGCAAATGGAACGCAAAAAGTCTTTGCACTCCCTCCCTTCTAACATGGTACCCAGCTTCAGCGAGTTCCAGAGGCCTGCCTACAGGGGAAGGTCCTCAGAGAGCAGCTTTGGCTATGATGGAGAATACGAGGATGCTGAACTGAACCCCAAGTTTCTGAAAGATAACCTGATTAATGCCAACGGCAGCAACCGCTCACCTTGGCAGCCCATGGACTTCCAGCCGTATCAGAGTATCTACGTTGGTGGAATGATGGGGGAAGGAGAAGGAAAAGGACCTATTCTGCGAAATCAGGGCCCACCTGACCAGGAAAAACATCTCACGTGGCCCAGGAGATCTTATTCCCCCAGGAGTTTTGAAGACATTGGAGGAGGATACACTCCTGATTGTAGCTCTAATGAGAACCTTACCTCTAGTGAGGAAGACTTCTCCTCAGGACAGTCCAGCCACGTGTCCCCCAGCCCCACCACGTACCGCATGTATCGGGATAAGAGCCGCTCCCCCTCGCAGAACTCCCAGCAGTCCTTTGACAGCAGCAGCCCACCGACGCCCCAGTCTCAAAAGCGGCACCGGCAGCAGCAGGTCATCGTGTCTGAGGCCACCATTGTGGGTGTACGAAAAACAGGACAGATCTGGCCAAGCGATGGAGATTTGCCCTCTGCGAGGTGTCACCAGGACAGCTGTTTCCACGGGGATACAGGTGTGTACCAGCTTTTTGCTTGGTCTTTTACATCTATCGAGCAGGGAATGGCGTCCTGGAAATGAATTGGGAGACCCTGGGTGAATCACTGTGAGGGGGCAAGTGTTTCCTGTGAGAATTCTGTGTTTCATTTGTAGTTTTGCTGTTTTAGGAAGATCCTACAGAAGTATGTCACACTGCATTTTAGGAATTCAGTCTGGATTCCTTGATTCAGGCTTCTTTTGAGAGGATCAATGGAGTTCCATGTTAATAATTTCTTAAAGTTTCAGTCTGAACACTGAGCTAAAAGGGCCAGAAGTTCACCAGGTATTCACCATTTGTGGTGAATTCACCACCAGTTTATTCCCTCCCTCGTATTTGTGCCCTATGGAGTAGTTAAACTCTACCTCACAGGTGGTAGTGTGCCAACAAGCCACAACCTGAGGGTTCTGCCAGAGCTTTACCGATAATGATGCTGCTCCCACAGTCTTGTTTTTTCCTGTCTGTATTAATTGCAGTGCTAGTTTCTCATTCTGTCTCGTGTCAGCCTTCAATTAGAGCTGATTGGAGGTGATGATTGTGCAGCTCTGTTCTTGGAGCTTTCTGCTATCGCTGAGTGAAGAAAGAACTTGGAACATCAGGAAGCCCTGAGGGAGAAATGTTAACTACATTTCAGCAGAATAAGACTTTTCATTTGGGGAAGAATGGGCAATGTTTGAATCCGTTTTTATGTAACTTATTCAGGCATGCAGGTGTGTCTGTGGAATCACAGTGAGTTTATAGGTGGAAGAGGCATATAAGAATAGTAATAATTCAGCTGCAGTTTTTGAATGCATGTAGGTGTCTGAACCTATTTAGCAAGGCAAGGCCTGTAATGTAAATAGTATCTTGTGCTAACACCTGTAGTCTCCTATGCAGTAAATGGAAATCAAATCCAGGAATGAAGAAAATAGGAATGTTTGTTTTGATAGATTTCTTTAATTACAAATCTGTGAGTTCTCTCATGGGTTTTCTTCATCTCTTGGAATATCTCATTTTAATAAGGGATTAACATGTTATTTGTCAATGGGACCAAATTCCTGTAGTATTGGGTGATTTCAGAGGTCTGTCAGAGATGTTACTTAGGTTGTGAGAGTTTGCTCTGTGACTTCTCAGAAGTAACTGCTCGAAGGAGATGCCTGGCTTTACTTTCCCTGCTGATTGCTTTTGTCAGCAATACTTTGGGAGCAACAATGGAGATAGAACTGTTCTGTGCTGTGCTGCCATCCTCTTATCCTGTTGTGTTATTGGAAGGCTGGGCAGTTGTAGTGGATGTTCAGTGTTTGTGGAAGCTCTGCACCTCCTCACAGTGACTTCTCCCTTATCAGATTGGATGGACATCCCTGTTTTCTCTCTGGGACTGCTGCATTCTTCCTGGGTTTTAGGGGAGAAGCTGAGTCTTGTGCTCATTTGAACTGAGCTCAGCCATCTGTCTCTGCTCTTGTTTACTGATGCTCTTTAGATGACTGGGAAGCCTCCTGGCAATTTCAGTTCTTGGAGAAGGAAACAAAGGGGTAAAAATAACAAACGTTGATAAAGCTTGAGGGTAAATTCAGCTTTCAAAAAGGCAATAGGTAATTTTTATTTTAAATAATTTAGCTGAGATGCAGTGATTAAAAAAAAGGCAGCTGAAAAGTCAGAACACTCACAATTCCTGGATGCACTGGAAAGCTTTGTGCCTTATTCCTAAGGATGACCACACATTGCAGGGAAGGACAGAATGTAACTGATCCACCTTCTGCTTTCCTCAGCACAGGGGGTGACATGGCAGGCTTAGCAGGAACTTTCACCAGATGGCTAATCAGCACTGTCTTGCACGTTAGCTGGTGGCAACTTTTTACTTAACCAAAAAGGTTTATGCCTTCAGGAGGGCTGGCTTTCTGATTGATTTCTACTGAGCATCATTTTATAGGAGTTCTCTGTCCTTCCCAATTGGGATGAATTCTGATCTGAAACCAGTTGGCAGCACCTCCTTTTCATAGCCCAAACAAAAGGCCTGAGAGAGCAGTGTGTGATGATCTGGCTGGCTCCCATTCCCAGCTTCCCTGCTCTGATCCGGGCTGTTCTCCATGCCCACGTGCTACCAAAGCCATTCACACATCCAGACAGATTTTCCAGCACCTGTGGTTCACTCACTGCTTCTGCCAGGCTTCCCTAAAGTTCTGCTTGAACAGAGTGCAAGTTTCAATCACAGTAGGTTCTGGCCAGCCTTCATGTTAATCAGCATCGAGTGGGGTTTATTCAACAGTACTTGACTTCCCTGTGTATTCAGATTGTTTTGTGTTTTCTGGCTTTGCCTTTGATCACTCTTCCCTTGGTGAAGCTGAGTGTGCTGGGGACAGGTGCAGTGTGAAATTTCCATCTGGATCTGTCCCAGTGCACCTTGAGCTTGGCCAGCAGACACATGCTGTTCTGTCCAAATTATTTCATGACTTCACAGTTAAGTGATGTTTTCCTGATTTGGTATTACAAAAAAAGGATGTAACTCTCAAGTGGATGGGGTCTGAGCCAAAATTTGAATCTGGGTTTTTGGAGGTGGACTATCAAAAACATTAAAGCAGGCCAAGGTATAGTAGGCTTTTAGTTTTTTCCAAGGAGCAGCATGAGAGCTTCAGGGTTGAGATTTGGTAATAGCTGTACTTTCTATTAAATGTACTTAATGAAGCCTGGGCAAAGATATTGATATTAGGATTAATTATGTATCACTAATTTCCTGTAGTGGGAATAGAAAAAAAAATCTTTGCATTAAGCTTGAATATCTTGACTATGATTGTGAAGAAAGAACAAGATTTTGAAAATTCTGCCTTCTGTTAAACATTAGTTGCAGAAATAGACATGAGAAAAGCCACCCATTGTGCATTTCTGCTTATGGTCAAGGGGAAAGTTGTACAGTACTGTTATGGAGCAATGAGCTCCTGCAATGGCCTCAGCTGGGACAGTTTTTAATTAACAGCACTTGGTTAATGAAGAGCACACTGGAGCTGTTGCTTGGCTTTGGAGCTTGCTGCATAAAATCAGTGTTGTCACTCTGTGTGAAATGATTTTATCTGTCTGCATAAGAACATGGAAACTTTCTGGAGTCCACATAACTCATATTTACCTGCCCAGCTGCCTCCCTCAAGGTGCCCCAGACTAACTCTGTTCACGTGACAACACCTGGTGGTGCTCTGAGAGCTGTGCCAGGCTCTTGCTCCAGACAGCCCCCAAGCACCACCGTTCTCAATCTGAGGTCAGTTTGGGGATATGTGTCATTTAATTCCATTGGAGTGAGCTTTTACTTATTTTAGCCTCTGCTAAACGTGGGAGTTCTGAATGTCCCTTTTGGAGAGCATGGAACGTTCCCTATTTTTTAGTGAGTTTATTGTAGAGAAGGGAAGGAGCAGTGGAATTTGTGCATGTGAACTGCAAATCCTGTTATGTCAACAGAAGGCCATTTTAAAACTCCTGCTTACCTAGAGCTGAAGGTTCTTCAGTTTTTGTGTGCCTTGAATGCCTGACCAGATAGGCAGGCATCTGAATTTCCTGCTTTTAAGGCAAACTGGACACTACTTACTTGGAAAACCCCAAGAAATCAGGTAGTGTGTCATCATGGGAGGACCTTACTCTGTACCACTTTCTGAAGGGTTTGCTTCTTGAGTTATTTGCATCTTCTGAGATCTTAGACAAGTTTCTTAACTCTGCACTTCTTCCACCCAGTATTGTATCCTGTGAATTTTAGTTTTGAGACGTAGTTTGAAAAGTTCTTAGTGGGATTTGTGGACTCCTGAGGAAACATGCAAGTCCTGTTGCTGTTGTTCAGAAGCACAACTTCCCTTTGAGCAGCTGGGGCAGACTTCAGTCCACTGTAGAGATTCTTCCTTCTGAGGAGCTGAAATGCAGGAACTTTTATAATGTGCAGATTGCTTGTTAATTTTAAGGCCTGCTGGCCATAGGTCCTTCTTTCCATCTGTGACTTACATTGGATCAATAATGCAATTTAAATGTTCCTGACACTTGTGTAGTTCATTTTGCTATTACTTCTTAAACATGTTTTAATTCTCTCCTGTGATGAGCAGTGATTTCCTAGGAGCACTGATGCCAAGATGCTGTTTAAATGCAACCCCCACCCTGCTGTGCTTTTCAATATTTTAGTGGCTTTTGAGATTTTGGAGATTATCAGGATGCTTGCACTACCCTCTTCTCACTCTGGGGAAGTGAAGAGCTCCCTCTCTCTCTCTTCCAGATTTCTCTTTCCCTACAGCAGAGTTTAATGGAATCCACAGAGCTGCTTTATGTCCCCAGTGACTATAGTGGACTCTGAATTGTTTGTTTTGTTCCTTCTTCCACAGAGAGTTGCTGATGTTTACCTCAGGCCTACCAGAAATAGTAGCATGTAGACAGATTTTATTTTTTCTTATGTTCCCCCTGGATCAGGTATTTCTGCAGTCACAAAGCCACCTACCTTTGAAGTGGGAGTGTAAACCAATCCACCCAGGAGTTGTCTGCTACTGGGGAGCCCTGGAGACTGCTGGTGTCCCCTCAGCTGGACAGGCTTCCAGGGTGCAACACTGGAACATTATATTCTTAATTCTTAGAGTTAGGCTATCTTGTGCTAATGCTGAGAAAAAGAAAGCTAAGAGCTTGCTAATTTGTGGAACTGATTGCTCTAGCATTTTTCCTAAGTGTTTCCATTGGTCTAAGATCTCAGGTTTGGATATTTGGATAAAATGCCAAGTACTGTGTTTTCAGTCACTCCTTCGTGGACAACTTGCTTTTCACTGCCACCAGGAAGTTTCACTGAGATCTGAGCAAAAGTAGTAAAATGAGTTCAATGGCAAGGAGGCATCCTAAGTAACAGATTTGGGATGAAAGAAAAATAAGATTTAATTAGAAAATTTGCTAAACCTTCAAGTGTGGGTTAGGAACTGCTTATTTTTGACTACTGGGCAGCATACTAGAGCTATATACTGACTCTTAAAAGAAGTGTTGTGGGTGGGGGGTGT